TTACAGATACGACGCCAATTAACCATGGGTAAACGAAAAAATATGGGTACAAAAGCGGGGAGATGAAACGGTCAACTTTGGGAGTAGCAACCTTTTTCTTTACTTACTGCACGCCACTTTCAGGTTCTTTTCGTTCTCGTTTATTTTTGGGATTGCAGACAAGAGGGGATGCATTCGCGCAACTGATTTCGGATCGATGTCATATCCCACAGTGGCTCCAGCCAAAGACGATCTGAATCTTTGGGGTCCCAGCCGGGAAACCCCAACGGAAGCCAGATCCGAGCACAATTTCTTTAACCCTCTGCGTCACGTCATAGCCTGCCCACCTCGTTGTTTCTTACAGACTGGACTGATGTCTGCGAGTACTGCACGGTGTGGCAGACAGTCCTTAGGTATTCGTAGGACGTGCCCTAGCCACCTAAGACGATGCTATGGAATTATTTTGCTCAAAGGAAGATTATCTGGTCCTAGCACCCGTCGTCTGACTTCATCGTTATTCATGCGATGCTCCCACCATATGCGCAGACAGCAGTTGTCGAAGACTGATAGTCGCTGGACGTGATCTGCTTGGAGAGGGCAGGTCTCGCAGCCACAGAGCAACACGGTGCGTACCGTTGCGCAATACACACATCCTTCAGTGAAAGGGATATATCACGCCGGCATCAGAGTTGCCGCAGATTAGCAAACGCTGATCTAGCTTTGATCACGCGTTGACAGATCTCGCCCACACCTCCGCNTTAGCAAACGCTAATCTAGCTTTGATCACGCGTTGAGAGATCTCCTCGCACACACCTCCGCCAGCCGTTATGCAACTTCCAAGGTAGACAAAGCTTTCGACCACTTCCAGACTGTGATTGCCCAACGGAAGTGCAGGAATGGGTTCTTGCCATCTTGCACTTTGAAGGTGCAAAGGACATACCATAGCGAGCAACCTCAACTGACAAACGGTTCAACGACTCTTGAATCATTGGTGCGTTGTCACCCAGTAAGGCAATACCATCGGCATACTCCAAGTCTACGACTGTCCCTGAAAAAAAGCTCGACGCCAGCGTTCGTTACGTTATGTAACGCTTTTTGTGGGACATCATCTATGGCAAAGTTGAAGAGAAACGGAGAGTTAGGGCAACCATGTCGCACTCCACTGGTGACAGGAAATGAGGGTGAGAATTCTCCATAGGCCCTAACCTTCCCCGAGGTCTGGTAATAGAGCGCTTGTAGAACTGAGGCATACTTCTCGGGTACTCCGTATCTCCGCAAACAGTTCCATAGAGTCGAAAGCCACTCTGATGTCTAAAAACACGACAATGGTTTGTCGTCTGTATGCGTGGCGGTGTTCTAGTAGCTGGCGGAGGGTGAAGATTTGATCTATGCATCCACGGTGTGCACGAAACCCGGCCTGCTCCTCGCGGGTTTGCTTCTTACGGAATGGGCATAACCTGCGTAAGGAAACGGACGCTAGCAGCTTCGGCGCTATTGGAATCAGACTTATACCCCTGTGGTTGGAATAGGCGTTGCGACAGCCCTCCTTGTAGATGGGTGTGACAATCGATTCTCCCCATGTATGGAGTACACTCAGTTTCCCAGATCTTCGAGAACAGTTTCACAAATTCTCTTACGAGAGCATCTCCACCATCTTTAAATAGAGCAAGTGGCAGGTCACCTGATCCAGCTGCCTTGTGGCGTTTCAGGGCTTGGAGTTAGTTTCGGATCTCCGCTTCTGTAGGCAGTCCCGTGGACAGTGGCCAGGTTGCACTCTCAAGAGAACTGCTTAGGGCAGCCAGCGCGGGGGGCTGGTTGAACTGCGAAGTGAAGTGCTCCGCCCAGTGTTCCAATCGTCGAAGGCTGTTTATCAACGTGCCGTCTACCTCGCAGATTGTTTCCATAACGCACTGTCTATACCAAAAGCACAAATCGACGAAGTATTTTTTCCGCAGTCCTAAAAAACAGCCCTCTCATAGGCAAAAAATGTTATCCACTGGTTATCTATAAATAATGCGAATTCTTCCATATTCACCGAGCAAGTGAATAGGCTCTAAAATCGAATTAAAAAACGATGACGAACCACAAAATACTTGATTCTCTGGATTCAAGGGTGTTTCACTCCCTGTAATGTTTGAAAAATATCTTCATACTAATTTCGATTGCGTAAAACAAGAATGCTCTTTTGAACATCTGCACATACCTTTTGGCTTGATACACTATCTCTCTGTCACACACAATATAAATGTATATAAAATTCGCGACGAGAATACGTGTTCACGGTACAAGTATATGAATAAACCGACAAAAGAGTATCAGAAAAAAATGCGCTACGATCGGCAAGATGTGACACTAATTTTTCTTGGAAAACATTGGTTCCTATCACCGTTTTCCTACGAAACGCAGTGGACTAAAGAGGCTTATTTCACATGCGTGTGCCAAGGAAACCACCATACAGTACTCTTTCAGAAATGGTAAAGGTCAAAGACATGAGCGCGTCCGAACAAGTTGGGAAGCGTGCAAGTTTGCCGGCAAAAGACCAAACGAAATAGGTCGTTACCCATGGTGGACCATCGCGAACATAATGATCTAAATATAAATATACTACTCATGCCCAGTATGAAATGTTTAATAACAATAGGACCATTTCGGTTTTAAATATTTTCTTCTATGGATGTTCAAACAAATGCTTGGGAAATCGTCAACAAAACTTGCCAATGCCATTACGGAATGTGAATGGAGGACTGGACGCAAGTAACGAGTTGCATTTATACAGATGATCCTAGTTTATAATTTCAAAACCAATTGACAGCAGCGAACAATCATTTAATGGAATTTCAAAATCGCTCCGTGGTTTATTGACGTACCCTGGTAACCCGATCCAGGAAACAATCCTAGTGACTACCACATATGGACATACCGGAATAGAGTGGCCCGCTGATGGGTTCGCACGGTCATGCCCGATAATGTCCATCCATTATTAGAGTAGAGGCAAACGTGGGTATGCCTCGACGCGTTGTGTAACCATTCTCAAATTTCCGACCATACATTCCGATCTGCCAGCCGAGTTTGCATTTGCATCTAAATGCAACACTTCCGTCGATTTCCAGAGCAATTACAATACCAACCAACTTGTGCATGTGGCCATCCAATGAACATGCTGGAATAAGATAACACATTTGACAAATGCTTCCCAATTTTTCCAGGGTAAGCAAATGGCATCACTTCGATTAGGGGCTTTTTAAGAATCCTCGAAATCTGTCTACCCCTTCTGATGAAGTTGAAAACCTATATCCTTCTGCGGACCTGTCATCTTGGCAGGAATTATTTATATTGACTTCCCTGCCAATTTTGGTTCTATTTCAAGCCCACTTACGTTTAGACAGATGGTGTAACATTTTATAATATAGCAATAAGCATTTTCCTACTTATAGTACACACACTTGACTAAACTTCACAACCTCTTTAAATATCGGCGCATGCATATTACTTACGAGTAGTCCACAGCTAATACTCGGTTTTTCGACAGAGATGACTGCCTTTCAGATGAGCTTGGGGCTCACGTTACCATCCGGCACCCCCTCGATTTTCGTAAAAATAAGAATACTACTCATGAGTAGTGAAACATTTCCCCCAGGAAATTGACGCACAGAAATAAATAAAAATTGATCTAATAAATAGTAAATGGTATTCAACATAGATACAACTGCGCAGGATGTTGCAAATAAATATGAAAGTCATTTTTAAACGTCTGTATAGAAAGACTAAACCACTTTCGGTACTGTACTTCATCTAGATTTCCCCATATCACATTTCAGACCGACCTCGTAGCGTTTTTCAAGCGTCTTTTGATATAGTTCCAAGTAGGACTCGACTTTATTGGTATGAACACGAGGTATGGAGTTGACGAAACCGTCTGTGTGGTGGACACATATATGTATGTTTCATCAAACAGAACAATATTTTATACATTGAAACGGTCTAAAATAATATCCAAAACATTTCACAGTATCCGCTTCTCTAGTGACCTAAAATTAAGCAAACAATTAGGGGGGGGGGGGGTGCCAGATGGTAACGTGCGCCGCGCTTGGCACAGCAGCGGAACGCGTGACGGATCACTTATTAGTAATCACGGGTTTCGGAATAGGCAACAGAGACTCTTCACGCAAATCGCGAAGCTACATGATCACAAACGCACATTCTTTGCGTAGCAACCTTGTGAGTGGGCTACAAAGGTGCAAATTCGAAAAGTTGCAAAGAATTCACCTAGACGTTAAGCTAACCAGTTTTAATAATGGGCTGTATGTAAATTGACACTGTCCATCAAGTTTTGGGGAGAGCCAATGCGGCGAAAAACTGTTGTCAGAAGTGGGATTCGAACCCACGCCCACAGAGTGGACTGCGACCTGAACGCAGCGCCTTAGACCGCTCGGCCATCCTGACAAGGCAGGCTTGTGGAATAAACAGTTCCTGTTTGTCGTTTATCTGAGCGAGCTACTCATGCCACACGGGCCACTGTAACACGCGCTCCTGCCGTCTGTGGCTGTTGCCCTGTGCTAACCGGTACCGATTGAAGCACGACATGACGATGACACTTCAACCACTCCACAAACAGTGATGATGTCACCTCGGCTGGTGATGAAACGTTTGCAAAAAAATTGCCAAGCTTGGGGAACAGGCGAAATAGAATTCAGTCCATCCGAGCTACGAGAACCAATTTTCAGTACTTTGTCAACACTTCAACCTACGCCGATTGATAATGCTTGTTTACAATCGCCATCAAATTACAACCAAACGTCTGTGGTGCTGCGCCCTGGCAGCAACTAATGCACCCAGAGTGGAGAGACACAATGACAAGCCAAGGGAGCTATCGCAAGAGAAAACCAATTGACCGCGATATGGAATAAAGATTGACTCTTATTTATCAATAAATAATAGTTCACATCTAGGGTGGAACGTTACAAAAATAATTCGGATCTTGAAAAACACGAGAAATTTAACTGTAGTGTTTCTTCTCAAGTCTAGCGTTTTCTGATAGTGTTCCCGGCCCAGTCGATTTTGTTCGCATTTTTCAACATATTCAATCCATCCTCAAAGGTCTCCCGGCTGATGAGCCGTTCGGATTTCGAGCGCAGCTCCTCCAGCACACGAGCATAGACGAACGTAAGCACACGTGGACGCTCTTCCAGAAGGGCCCAGATAGCGGAAGCCATTTCCTCGCGACGTTTACGCATGCTGTTGCTCACACCTAAATATTTCGCAGGGGCGGTTTTGAAAGTGCAAAAGATAAACAGAAACTCCGGCAACAAATTTAGTGGAGAACCAAACGGGTATCTGCGTTAAGTAGACCCAAAGGAAATCACTCGACCGGGAGGGTAAGAATTATTCCTACGCGAGGAATTTGTCCCGAATATGAGCTGGTATAAGCAAACGGCTAATTAATATGCGTGCAACTGAGGACAGAAACACAGCATACAAGCATGAAAATTGACTAACATCGGTGGGCAAGTATACATCAATATATTCAACACCAGTCTTTACAGATAAGGAGCCAAAATGACCATTGGTTGAACGCGAAATATGGGAACAGAAACCGGGAGAGGGGGACAAAAAGCAGTGAACAATACGATTTTATTTGTTTACTGCATGCTATTTTGACTTTTTAGGTTTCATTTTTTTTTTGATCGCACACAGAATAGGATGCATTCATACCACTAACTTTGGTTCGATGTTAGATCCCGCTGTGTATTACGCCAAAAACAATCTGAATCTTTTGGGCGGCGACCGGGAATCCCCGATGGAAGACCAATCCAAGCACAATCTGTTCAACCCAACGCCGCGTCATAGCATACCCACCTTACTGTCTCTTCCAGCATAGACCAAAGTCTGTAAATAGTGTATGGTATGGTAGATGTTGATCAGACATTAGTAGGATCTGCCCCAGCCATCTAAGAAGAAATGGTTTTGCTGAATCTGACACACATCGTTCGACCTCATCCTTATTCACACGATGCTCCCCATCATGCGCGAGCGATGTTGTGTGTTGTGAACTAAGAAGCGAATTCCAATTCGCTGAATTCCATATGACGATGACGAGTTCGCTCGTGTGCAAACATGCACAGCATATTTAAAGTGTTCACTAACGCACGTCTATTACCAAAGTAACGCCAAAGTGACAAGCCAGTCAAGCTGTTGGTACAAATGTGGAAACTCGGTCATTCAAATCGGCAGGACGGAGAATGAACAGCGTGTTCGAGTGCCCGAACGTACCCCGTTCCAGCTTTAGACGATAATGAGCGGAAACCGAAAGTGTGACGTCATCGACAACATAGAGGAAACTCGCTTCTTTGATTACTTCTACGATCCGGTGAAAATGAAGTAGTTCATCATGTTGTGCGAAGCTTCGCGACCTAACAGACAGGATTCTCAGCTATGTCGAAGAATACACAAGGTTCCGTATGTAAGCGGTGGTATTACGTGCGACAGAATCAGAGAACTAGTTGAAACCAACGCTGCGCAGCGCCATCTGGTTCACAATACGCTATTGGAGTTGGACGAGCAGAGCGAGTTATATTCTGAACGAACAGAACTGGATGGTTACAGAAACAGTTCATTAAGTGAAGATTGCTTTTAGAACTGCAATGTGGTAGACGGCACTACGGATCACTAAGTCATCATCGTCTTATGGCGGAATACTTGGTTTGAACCTGCCAAGATCATCATGCATGCAAATCAAGAATGTGTAAGATGGATAGCAAATGTACCTATTTTGTTGGTGGTAGGGATGAAAATGAATCTGTACGATCAACCGGGAACAGTTACATCGTCGCAGTGCGGTCGACGACAGGTGCGCATGCACAATATGCATCTTAGCCGGTAAGGCCAACTAATCTGAGTTCGATATAATAGGAAATTTTTCACTGAACACTCCTCATGCACAGATAACCATCGGCTAAAATTCTTCCAAGAGATACCCGATTATAGAATGATTAGGACCTCGCCCCAGCACAGAAATGAGAAAATTATGTGCACTGTGATATGTCGGTGCAGGTGATAAATCTGTAAGACTTGATTGACTTGATAAGGGTTTAGGTAAGCTGCATACCAATAACTATTACTCAAACCGTTTGGTATCTATCGCTAGCACTGTCGCCAACAGGGAATATGAAAACTGTCACAAAAACGATATCCGAAACACTTCAACGTGGCACGCAAGATCATTACACGGCAGCATTATTCGGTAGAAAGGAGCAAATCACACTCGTTGACCCACCGGTTGTCAAGATGTTGATGTCAATGGTCCCGGTGACTGGATCGATTGCGGCCTGTTTCAGAGCTTCGCGCTGCAATCGACGGGCTTCGCGACAATCGTCTGCAGTCACCTCGTTCGACAGGCGTAGACGGGCATGTGCCTCGGCAAGTCGAACAAGCGATTCTAGTTGTCGCGGATAAGCAGAAATCTAAATATGGTGGAAAACAAAATGAGTTTACACACCAAGTGCATTTCGGATAAGCAGCTACTTAAACGATAAACTGACGTTTATGACACATTCGCGATGTACTTGACAGTTGAAAAATAACGAATTTAGAAGTTAATCATCATTACTCACTTGTCCTCGACCGGCACCCAATTTCCGCATTTCCACGTATTCACGCACCAAATACTCCCCGGCTTCTTCGCTCAATTTCGGTTGGAAATTCGCCTGAAAGAGAGTCGGATACGGTACTGCATTCACTACCACGTGCAATTAACATATTACAAAAGCATCTGTAGAGTCAAGGATTTATGTAACTATTCACCAAAGTCTTCGGACAAGTTTCGTCACCAACAATGTTTTCATGGTTATCAGACCTCCGCCTATGGTCCCATGAACCTGGAATGAACCAATGTACCGATTAGCTCAGAGGAATATTTCAACCGTCAGGCCGATCAGAAATGGTGCCTCGAAAATGGACAAAAGACAGTGTGAAAAAGCACCCAGAAAATGTTCGGACATATATTTCGGCTGATGAATTCTAGACTACAAACAGTAAAGGCGAAGCTGGTCTCCTTTAGAAGATTGTATTGAAAGATGTTCCAATAAATTGTGGAAAGACGAGTTAAAATCGGAGCAATCTCCATCTTCGACGACGGGTGAACGCGGATGGATTGATTCAACTAACCAATGTACCGTACACTGCAAAGCCCGTTCTTAAGCTCACCTTATAGCAGCATTAAGATGATAATCAAGAAGCCTTTAGCAGAATGCTTCGACGACATGCGAAGATTATTGGAAAGGATAACAATAAAAGTCACCAATGTCGACTCTAGAAGAAGCATGTTACATGACATTTTGAGATACCCCCCAGTTACGCGGTGTTACTTATGCTCGAAATTGTTTAACAGTCACTGTAAGCTCTCCCGCGAAACAAAATTTAAAACTTTGGAAAGAAATTGAAATATATTGCTTGTTTTCTGTGGTTCAGAACGAAAGGGCATTCTAACGAAGTCGGGTCATTGAACTGCGAGTTGCAATTTCAGACAGAGAGAAGCATAAGCTCAATTTAAATAGTCCATGAAACGTAATCAAGATCGAAGACCGTTAATCGTGAGCATTTGGAGTGACGATACACTATAACGATCATCCCCTTACTGAATATATCGTCTACTCTTGACAACTGTACATTCATGGACACAAACAGACACATTTACTACGTTCTTATTCATAGTTTTGGCCTTGTTTAGGCCCCACTGAGGGCTGTTTGAACACCTAAAAGCACCTTTTGAAATGATGATGGAATAGGCATCAATTATTACTCGACACTCATTGTCCTAAAGACTAGTAATTTTTCCATTCTGAACCGCATCAACTGTTTCTCAAACGGTTACCAAGTAAAATGCCCCATTTCACGTATAGTGATTGAGGCGATAAGCAAATCGTGGAAGAATGGCTCGCCGATAAAACCTGTTACACAGCGTAAGCCTAAGAGAACTTCAGTGGATTTTGGGGTCACAAAATGCTGATCAGACAGTGGTCAAAGCTATGATCTTCGCAACGCAACAACAGTGACAATCAGCACCACGGGCCAATGAACAAGAGCTCCGCTGAAGTGTCGTACCTTCGCATAAGCGATATAGTCTTTGAAGAATTCCACGGTCATGGAGCTTTCCTCCTCCCCATCGACATGCATAACACCGAGGGGTGCGCCACGGGCAACCGTACTACTATCCGACCCGCTCGTTTCCGTATCCGAACCGCGATAATAGTACAGACTGACCAAGTGGCGTGCCAAACGAGCATCGTAAACTTCGTCTTGTGGGTCCAGGATGAGAAAGATCAAATCAAATCGGGACAACAGGGTGTGAGGTAACTGTAGGGATAGATGAGGGGGTGATTGAAGAAAACAATGACGGACATAGATATATGTTTCATGTGAGAAACGGAGGATTTGACTGAATTTCAAAGGAGAAATTCGTCGTGTATGTAGCAAATGAAGCGCGAACCTAAACGCAAAAAAGCACTGGATAGATTTTCGACCTTGTTAGGTCTCATCAGCAGTGCCAAACCATTGAGCCAACAGGGGATCGAACCCGGGACCTCAAAGGCAGAACGCAAGCATGCTACCCAACCAGATCGAAACAGGTGATGGTGGCGCAGTGGTTTAGTTGCTGTCACAGGACCCTATGGTCCGCGGTTCTAGCCTCGCCACCGCCACCCGACTTTGGTGGTAGGCGGCTTTGCTGTCGTCCGGTTCAATACCACTCCTAACCTATCGGGCCGTATGTGTTTCACCACTCCAAGTCCCGGGGCTTGGGCTACCGGTTTCCATCACTGAACAGCAGGTTCTCGTGACTATGGGGCTTCCCCCGTCTGCTGTCCATCACACAAAAAGTGTGTAATAAAAAAAAGCTATCCAGTAATTAGATTTTTAGTTCACACTTCACTTACTATATACACGACGAATTTCTCCTCTGATATATATATATATACCAGTGATCCCAGTAGTAGAATAAGTCATACACAGATAAGAGAGAAATCGGACTAAAAAACATGTAAATAGTTCTCGTCACCACAACATAGATGATCACAATTCGTTTTTTTATGATTGGATAGCGGCTTCCTCGTTATGAAAAACGGATCATACATATTTGTACTCGACAAAACTAGGTGAAAGATTACCACTGTCAAGCAAAACACTCCTCGACGGAGTGGAATGTTCTAAGAACCGCTTTCCTCGACAGTTGAATTTTATATATATATATATATATATATATATATATATATATATATATATATAT